TCCACAAAGTCCTTCTCCATCTCAGAGAACACACGCAATGACGCCGACTGCAGGAGGAAAGCTGAGTCAGTGAATGTGTAAGCATCTCAGTGCTGGCAGGGGTCCACATGACTGCTCCAGCACCCAGGGCTGCATTGGGGTAGGTCCTTGGGGCTTCTCCTTGGGGATGGCTTACAGGAAGTGAGCCTTGCCAGCCGAAGCAGAGAACTGTCTAAGGCAGCTGCACCCTGGTGCAACCATCACAAAGCAAGAGACCCAAGAACTTGAAAGGCGGGGCTCACCGAGCCATTTATCTCTCTGCCCTTCAATTAACCCCACACGTGTTTATCGGCCAGATTGGCACAATAAACTGTCAATCTCACAATTAACTAACTCAGCATGTACAACTCTTCCTGTTGGGCACTGATTAAGGAAGACCCAAAAAGAATAGATATATTTGAATTACGATACCGGAGTAGAATATCGAAAGTACAAACCAATTTTGCAAGAAGTACAACCGGAATGCACCTTAGAAGCAAGCATAGTGAGATTTCTTCTCATGTACTTTGGATATGTTATCAGGAGAGACCAGTCAGTCAGTCCCTGGAAAACTGGAAAAGGACATCATGTTTGGTAAAATAAGACAGCAAAAAAGAGGAGCACCCTTGAGATGAATTGACAGACATAGTGGCTGCAACAATGGGCTTCAGCATGAGAATAATTGTGAGGAAGGCGCAGGATTTGGCTGTTTCTTGTACATGGGATCTCTACGAATTGAAACTGTCTTGCGGCACCTAGCAACAACAGGAGAATGGATTTTCTCAGTCTTTGTCTGGAGATGTTCTTATTTCACCTTATTACTTGAAATGCACATAATTTACACTGGAGTGACCCAGCTTATTTACTCTAAGTTAGAAGAAGTAGAAATTTCAATAGAAGGTGTACACAAGTGAGGAGATTGACAATAAAACAGGCCATCTTTGAAATCAGAATGTATAGAGAATACATACCTTTTTCTTTTGAATTTACACCTTGGAGAGTCCCATTTTACACTGCTCAGGTTTCCAGGTATACACGGGAAATAGCTATTGACTATGAGTAAGCAAACACAGTAATAAGGTTCTGTATAGTCTTAGGATGTCTTTGTTGTCTAGTTAGTGGGGCCCAGGTTTTAATCATAAAAAGTCAGGTAAAGGGAGGGTGGAGCAGGAAGGGGGGAAAAATGAGCTGATAACAAGGGCTCAAGTAGAAAGAAAATGTTTTGAAAACGATGATGGCAACATATAAACAATGTGCTTGATACAATGGATGTATGTATGGATTGTGATAAGAGCCCCCAATAAAATGATTTTTTTTTAAAATCAGGTAAATAAGAGAAGACTTTCAGTTATCTGGCACCTGGAGGTGACATCTGCATCTAACCTGTTTGTCTTTGAACAGTTTATAAAAATTCTAGAGACTGCATTACGAAAGTACTTTAGGCTTATTGCATTTACGTATGGGGGGGGTGTATTTTATTAACTACATTAAGTCAAATAACTTATTTTTGAAGGATAGTTTTGCTAAGTATAGAATTCTTTAAAAATATTTAATAATTTTATTGTTATGAAAATCCACATATCATATAATTCAGTAGTTGAGTCATATCAGGAAGATTTGTAAAATCTTTACCACAATCAATTTTAGGACATTTTTTTTGTACTCTGTTAATATTTCCCCATTTATTTCCAACCTCCCCTGCCACACCTCCAAGAAAACCATCAATCCAGTTATTCTCTCTATAGATATACCTACTCTGGTTTTTATACACAGAAAAACAAAAAGAGAAAGAAACAAAAATATAAAAATAAAGTATTAAAAAAATCCCTTAATCAAAAAGAAAGTAGAAAACTTAAAAACTAGGACAATTTAAAAATGTGTCAAAAAGGAGATCAAATGATGGGGTGTTAGATTTTAACCTTATTCCATCTTAATGATCCACTTTCCCATGCTCTGTATAGGATAGCAAGGCTGTTCACATCCCTGGTCATCTGTGAACCACCTGGGCCGCATTTTTATTATATCCTTCAGGTCTTTGTTCAGATGTTACTTTCTCTGTGGTTATTGCCCGTAAAACTACAGAGCTCTGGGCAAGAACATTGAGCATCTGGGGCATTGATGCTTGGGGCTGCTAGTGGCTTGTGTATGAGCATGCTCAGTTTGGATTTTCCATAGGTGTCTAATGGGTGCCTGACTTCTATGCAGGCAACTGGGGAGACAGCCCCCCTTAGTCCCTATTCTGGCTCCCTAACAAAATGAGTATAGCCACGCAGGGGAGAAGTGAGTGTAGCTTCTATGTGGGTGGTAGCAATAGAGATCTTCTGAGTCTGGATGGATTTTAAGGTAGAACAATAAGGATTTCTTGTGATGGATCAGAGACAGGGAAATTTCCTGTATCTTGCCTGTGAATGCTTATTCTGTTCTCTATTGCTCCTGAAGCAGATACTTCAATTATCCTTCAATTGAATATTCAGGTAATATATTTTAATTGTTTTTAGTTTTGTTTTCCTTTTTGAAGAGTTCCCCTATTCTATTTTCATCTATTTTGTTTCTTGTTTTCTCTTATTGGATCCATGATGGTGGTGGGTTTTGTGTGTATTACCCCTCCTGCCCCATTTTCTTTAGCTTAAAAAATTTAAAAAATTTGTTTTTATTGATTTCAAATCGTTATTTAAGGTGAAACCTGCTTTTGTTTTTGGAGCTTATATGTTGTCTTCCAGCTTGTTGCTTTCTGGCCTTCTCTTTTCTTATTAGGAAGTTAGGTAGCTTCAGTAGCATCGATCTTCTCTGCTGTCCACACCTTGTGTTGGTAGCTACAGAGTAGGTGAATATCCATGCTGTGTTTCCCACTGTGTCTCAGCCCCCCTCCCCATCCCTGCACAACTGTGGGTTAGGAATTGAGATTGCTTTTAGAGTGAGTGAAGGTAGAAAAGAGGCATCCCAGGGAGGGAGAGTTCTTTTTGGTAGATGGAATTCTGTTCTTTTAAAAACTCATAAAATGCCTTTTCTCAGGGGCTGCTATCCCGGGTGTAGTCTTTGTATTCCCACAGGCCTGGGCAGGTTCTGAGTTTGGCTTATTGCCCTGGAAGAGACAAGGTTCATCTTGCCTTTCCTGAGGTTCCACAGAGGTTTCATAGCAGCTCCTATTCTTGGTGTTTTTTTCTTAGCTTTCCTAAGATTGCCACTTATTCCCCGTCAACTTTCCCCACAGTGGAAAGCACTTCATTTAAGGTTACTCCACTTCTTGGGTTGCATTTTGTAAAATGTGCTTCTTAACAGGTGTCCAGAGATAAGAGTTCTCTGATCCTTCTCAGGCTTTCTGTACACAGAAATCTAGGGTTTTTATCTCTAAAAGGTTTAGCAATATGGAAAAAACCCCAACATTTTTTAAATGTTAAATGTCTAAACTTTTTTTTAAAGACTTTTAAAATGTCTTTAAACTTATAGAAGCCCTCTTGCAGTGTGAAT